AATTTAAAAAAAAAAAAAAAGCCGATCGTGCCGGCAGGGTCGGGACGGCCCTTATTCACGCTCGGCTCCTGGGGAGCGGGAGCCGGGCCGGAGCGCCTGCTGGGGCCCTTCTCCAGCTGCTGCTGCGGTTAACAGAGCTGCAGCGGGACCGAGGCTTATCCGGGCCCTTTCCCTCGGCACCGGCGCACGGGTCCGAGAGCCGCTGGGGGAGGCGCGCGTCGCATGCCTGCCCCCGTGTGCCCCGGTGGCGGCGAGGAAACAGAGCTGCTGGCTGAGATAAGCGGGGAAGACGGGGAAACAGCACATCCGCTCCTCGGCGGCAAAGGGGCCCGGCCCACGCCCGTGATGGCGCAGGGGGGACTCCTCGGCCTGCTGGTTGTAAAATGTTCCCGTGCATCTGATGGGACCAGGCGGGGGCTCCGTCAAAGCTGGGGGTGCGTGTCTGAGGGAGGCCCCCGGCCGCTTGCCGGCAAGGGCAGGTGACTGACAGACAAGATCAGCAGGACGCACAGACTGCCGCCGGGACCCACACGGACTGAGCTGCCCCGGAGCTAGTTCTTCAGCAAGATCGGGGACTGGGGCCAGCGCCCCCCCCCCGGCCCCCCGTGAGGGCGCATTGCCGCCGAACACGGGCCTCCCACAGCCCGCGTACCTGGTAGGGGCCCTGATTGCAGCCGCAGTAGCTGCTCTCCATGGTGTAGCTTCTGGACACCCCCATCTCCCTCCACACCACCACCCGGGCGGTGGACGCTCGAGATTTTTCCACGAGGAAGCTGCAGCTGCTCATTGTGAAGGCCGGTGCGAGCTCATCGAGGATTTGGGGCAGAGTCTACAATAGAAAAATTAAAAAATCAAATTATGAGGAGCTGCGGGTGACTGGGGATTTGCATCATAAAACTTAACTTCTCAACACTTATTAAGCATCTCGATGGATCAAACACGTAACACAGGCCGCCACAAATTTTCTGTCGACCTGAAGAAACGGATGCCGTTTTTAAAATCATGTTAAAGGTGGGGCAACGGAGGCTTGGAGCGGGTAGAAGGCGCCCGGCTGAGTGGCACAGCGGGTCCCGTCTCATCCCGTGCGGGCCAAGTCTGCGGGTTCGAGTCCGAGTCCAGGCACGTACCTGGGCTGACCGCTCCATCCCCAGTCGGGGCACGTAGGGAAGGCAGCCGATCTGCTTCTCCCTCACATCGATGTTTCTCTCTCTCCAAGCATGTCCTCAGTGAGGATTAAAAAAAAAAAAATTAAAAATAGAAAGGTTAGAAAAAATAGCTCCAAAGTGGCAGGAATGGGACACAAAGGGCAAGACTTGGCAACTCCCAAGACCATGGTCTCTCGGCTTTATCTTTCTGCGTCGCTCTTGACGACTCCTGAGCAGGATCCCTGCGTCCTGAGAGTGCAGCTGCCAGGATGAACTTTTTAGTCTCATTCTTCTGATCCATGGACCTGAAGCTGGACCAGTTATAAAACCCCTAAAAATCCGTCCTCGTTGGGTTCACGTGTACTTTTTTTTTTTCCTAGGGTAGAAATGTTTAGGCGAGACCACTTAATCGCCACCTAAAAGGCATCTGTACACCCCTGTCGCTCCCCGAATCTCAGAGAGGGGCGTCCAGGCAGCAGGCCCCCCGGCCCAGGACGGTGGCTCCGAGCCAGCCGGGCACCTGGCTGAGCAGAAGCACCGCACTCGGGGCCCAGAGCGTCCGCGACACCAACGCGAAGGGTTCCCTCACCTCCGCCTGGGCGGAATCCCCACACACCAGCACGTGACATAAAATCACCCACGTTAGAAAGCAAACAGCGAAACCTCCAGGCTTTTGGACAAATTGCGGGAAGACGGCCGCGAACCAGAGCCTGTTGACGATGACCATGTAAACTAAGGAATAATTTTTTTTTTTTAATTTATTTATATTTTTTAAAAATATATCTTTATTGATTTTGGAGAGAGGAAAGGAGAGGGGGAGAGAGAGAGAGACAGAAACATCAATGATGACAGAGCCATCNCCTCACCTCCGCCTGGGCGGAATCCCCACACACCAGCACGTGACATAAAATCACCCACGTTAGAAAGCAAACAGCGAAACCTCCAGGCTTTTGGACAAATTGCGGGAAGACAGCCGCGAACCAGAGCCTGTTGACAATGACCATGTAAACTAAGGAATTATTTTTAAAGAAATGGAGTTCCGTGGAAGCTCTGACTACCCCTGGTNCATGTGCCCTGACCGGGAATCGAACCCCGATCGCCTGGATGCCAGGTCGAGGCCCAACCGCTGAGCCACGCCCGGCCAGGCAGGAATTATTTTTAAAGAAATGGAGTTCCGTGAAAGCTCTTACTACCCCTGACTCTTCCTATTCCCCCACACTTAACAGAACTGCTAGTTATACTGATATCGAGATTAATATAATTGTTAATTATAAATTACATGGGACAGATAAGTCTCTATTAGCATGATGATTAATATAATTCACTGTGATCTCTAAGTTCCCACATCCTCTAGACCTAAGGCATCATTTGAACAGGGGAAATGAGATGCTAATGCCCTCACCTGAGTTTCTACAGTTGCATCCTAATTGATCTCTTGTATCCACTCTTGTCCCCGATTCCTGTGGTCCCCCCAACCCTTCCTTCCCCTTCAAAATGCTCCCCACCATTAACACTAAGTCGCTGTTTATGTAACTAGCTGTCTACGTCCCGTCTCCTCTGCAGCCTGGGAGCTCCGTGAGCCAGGCCTGGGCCTTGTTCACATGAAGCCTCCGCCTGTGAGGCCACACTGTGCGTAGAGGCTCTTCCATAATTATAGGATCTGTGGGTCCAGACCCTGAGGGGGCTGGTTAACAGACAAAAATAAACGATTCGTACGGGCTGCTTTTAAAGGGATCGAGAACACGGGAACGTGGTTTTCATTTATCAGCGTTTGGCCTTGTTGCAAAAAGTTTGATCTGGCAGCATTTCAATGCTCTCTCCTTCCTCGGTCCAGCGAGCCCGGTTTTCTTAGCT